TTTACAAATATTGACAGAAACAAAATTGGTAAAATAAAATGTGCAAACTCAGACTCATCTGCAGACTTGAAAACGGAGGGAGTGGGAAATTTACTGCTTAAAAATTGCAATAACGACGTTGAGTTGCAGGGAGTGGTGTGTGCTCGCGACTTGATCGGGAATTTACTGTCGCTGCGGAAATTTGCTGATATGGGCTTGTCAATCTATTTAGATGACAAGGAGATTAGTATTTTTGATCCTAATACTGGAAATGTATGGATATCGGGAATATATGAAAAACCCTATTGGATGGTTGAATTTGTTAAGTTGGACAACAAAAGAATAAAAGTCTTGACGGCTGAGTCAAAAGCACACACTATTCCGGAAAATTCAACTACAGATATAAAATTAAATAATAAGTCGGAAAATTCAGAGAGCTCGGTCAGTAAGTTAAATAATGACGGTTTTGAAGATGTATTTTTAATAAGTGACAGAAAATTTCATGAAGTCGGAAAAGTCTTGACCGAAGAAATAAAAGACATTCAAAGTCTGTTTAGTGAGAATTATAAAAAATTCAAAGATAACAACGGGGCCATGCTGTGGTATGTCAGACTGGGCCATGCTTTGTTGGGGTATCTAAGGGAACTGCAGAAAAACTATCCGGAAGTAAAAAGTCTGAAAAAAGCCGTATTTGATGATGTGATTAAGACTTGTTATGTGTGTTTAAGAACAAAATCCCAAAAACTGCCTTTCCCTTCGGTACGCGAACGAGCATTCCAACCTCTGCAAATAATTTATTCAGATACAATGGGAATTATTAATCCACCCTCTTACCCAAAAAGATACAGATTTATTTCGGTATTTATTGATGATTATTCCAAATTTGCAATTGCTTACCNCTATACTTTCATTAAGGAATTAGGTTAAAAATTTCGATAAATTATATGTTAGAGAATTTGCAGTGGAAACTATGATGCATAGTGGGTGTCTTTCTTTGGGTATATCAACGAAGCCATGATATCCTACTCAGTTCATTCCACCCACGTCTGAAGGTTTTAAATTGAATTTATAATCATCGAAGATTTACAAATCATACCTTATATTTCTAATAATTTCTAATAGTTTTTAAATCTTGTCTGCTTTTGTCACAAATAAATTTCTCTTTTGCTTGAGAAATTTATTAGTTAGTGCAAACTGGTTTGTCATTTTTAAATCATCAAATTTAAGTTTAGATGTAGACTTAAACTTTTTTTCAAAGGTTTTTAATACGCTGTATCGTTTGTTAAACATGTCGTTCTGCTCTCAGTTGTTTTTATTATGACTTGAGGGTCAGTGCCTAAGCACTTGATCAGTAAGAGCAAATTTTGAGAGTACCAATGAAAACTCCAAAAAATCAGGTGTTAGTTTGAGAAACGTTTCGTTGGTATTAACGCTAACCTCATCAGGTTCACTTTATTAACCAAGAAAACAAAAACAAAAAAGACAACAATTTTTGTAAATTACATTGTAGGGCCACTCTTTATAACTATTATTAATAGATAGTTACGTCTATATTGTAAAGACGATCGTTACAGACTATTGGTCACTTTAAACGAATAACGAAAGTGTCGAACATGTATGTATTTCTATATATACATATAAACAATAAATGTAATTCTAACCATCCCCGATCGTTAAAAGTCAATGCTGTATACCGTTTGTTTGATCAAGCCAGTCTTTTCTCTGATAAATCCTTCCACAGAAAAAATATTGTCATGGCTAAGAGGATTTTACGCGATAATGACTATACTGATCTTTTTATACAAAAATACTTCAAGAAAAGACTTCACCAAATAATAAACACTAATAATGATAAGAACTTTTAACTAAATGACAATCTAAGTGCTAAAATATAAATGTCTATCCCTTACAACCCGTCATTTTTCAAATTTTGTTCAAAAACTTTGAAAAAATTAAATATACAATTTTACCCTACTATTCAAACAAATTGGACAGTGTTTTCGTTCTTGAAAAGAACAAAATTAATAAGCTTGATCAAACCAATGTCGTGTATCACTTCTCTTGTGATTCTTGCCCTGCATCATTCGTAGGTGAGACGAAGAGAGCATTGAAAAAACGGCTAAACGAACACAAAAGTACAAAGAAAGATGAACTTGTTGTCGCTTCACACATGAAAGAATTCAACCATAAATTTAATTTTTCTCAAACCAAAATACTAGTTCATGAACCAATTAGACAAAAAAGATTAATATCAGAAATGCTACATGTGTGGCGTCTCTTATAGATGTCCACACGATTTATATACATGTACACTCGACTAAGCAAACAATAAATAAAAAAGAGGAAACCTTATTTCTCAATAACATACATAAAGTTGTTATAAGTAATCTCTTTTAAATACGTACACACGTTATCTATATTCGCAAGAAACGTACATTTATTGTTTATATGTATAAATAGAAGTACATACATGTTCGACACTTACGTTATTCGTTTATGGTGACCAATAGTCTGTAACGATCGTCTTTACGACATAGACGTGAGTATCTATTATTAATATTTATAATCAGTGGCCCTACAATGTAATTTACAAGAATTGTTGTATTTTTTGTTTTTGTTTTCTTTGTTAATAAAATGAGCCTGCTGAGGTTGGCGTTAAGACCAACGAAATGTTGCTCAAACTAACACCTGATTTTTTGGAGTTTTCATTCGTACTCTCAAAATTATCTCTTACTCATCGTGTGCTTAGGCCCTGACCCTCAAGTCTTCTTAATACGCTATATCTTATTTTATCAGCGTTGGAACAAAAAAAAATTAAGTTCTTCTTCTAGCAGATGGAGAAGTTCAAACTTTGATTTGGTATTAATGTTACTTGTAATATTAAATATTTTGCCGAGTTTTAAGATATCGATAATTGGTTCTGAAATTTTCATACTAGTAGGATATTACTATTAATGCTGTAGTTTTACTTTAAATAAGGTAAGCTGTTGATTTTTTTTTTAATTCAAGAATGACAGTGGTCTAATCAACTGTTATTTTAGAAGAAAGGAAGTTTTAAAAGAAGTTCATTGTGTGGTTATAAAGGTATTTTTCAACAACCCTTTTTTTTGTTCTAATTTTTTATTTACAACTTTACTTGTTACTAGAAAAAGCTAAACTATACTACTTAGACCATTATTTTAATGTGTGTATCATTTTCACGAGAGATAAAAAACAAAAATAAATATATATTGGTGTATTCCGGATATGTATTAAACTAAAACCTTATTCTTACAATGTTTTGAATAACTGCTGTTTCTCTTTGCCTACCTCACCCCCAGTTTTAGTAGAAACTCATACCTGGGAGAAAACTCTGTATTTTACTCTCAAGAAGTAATAAGCTAAAAATGACAATAGTCAAAAGTGTATAGTGTATAATAAGTTTTTGTACTATACGAATATCATCATTACATGCGAGGCAAAATAAGGAAATTTATTCTGGTCAAAACATGTTTCAACTTCATAAACTTCTTCTACAGCAACAAGAAACTGCATCATACTTCTCACAAATACATATTTAACTTAACGTTTTGTATAGAATATAATAGTGTTCTTTGAATTTAAGATTTTGTGGATTAAAAAAATTTATTCCACCATTTTATATCCACTATCAGATTTTTTGCTTTTTGACTTTAGGTTTGTAACAATCCATTAAAAGAACGATACAGCTTATTTTTTGGTTAGAACTTATGAATTATCAGTGTTAAAAATAAAAAAAATGTGATCTATTAACTTTGGGCCTACTTTTCGGCCGGTTTTTGATCGATTACCATCACGCGACACACTTCTTGTAAATTATTATGATGAGAGGTTAAAAAAAATAATAACAATTATGTTAGTCATTAAATTATTTTTAAATAAAAGTTTGAAATGCTAAAACTATAGTGAAATACGACCTGAGAATTGTTGTTTATTTGTTCATTGTATTCTACGCAAGAAATCTGATGAAGTAGGTATTTTAAAGGTTATTTTTCTTACACTTTCTTGCATATAAATTGTGGTCTCCTGATGGAAAAAATTGTGGTATTATCAGCTTACTTAGTGCTGTTTATAGCTAATGTTGGCGGAGAATAAATTTTTTTTTATCGCTCACATAAAATAATCCATATAAACACATATATTAAAATGTATAACAAATGTGCAAGTCATTTATGTTTCCTATACTTTAAGAGTTTTGAGTATAAAAAAAAACTAATGCCACGCTCTTGCAAATCCCAATAAACTGAATTTTCCATTCAAATACTACACAGTATGTTTCAAAAATAAGATGTAACAATAGTTTTAAATAGTATAGTAGTGCTATGACGCTACTTAACTGCTTGGTTGTAGTCCTGATGAAAAGAGTTATTAAGGCAAATTGAGCGATGCTCTTTTTAAGTACATCTGAGTTAGTAGGGTAGCTTACGTTAAGAAAAGGTGTTCTCTTCAATGATGCGAATCACTACAGATGGCGTTCTTCTATTTTTCCCGAAAATGTTTCTAACCTACCAACTACCAGAGATAAAATTTTCTCTTGAATGTTGGTTAATGGAACCAAACAGCAATAAGCAAAGTGCAGCGTTAAGTATGAAGCGTTCGATTTTTTTATGTAATACGTTGGGGACAGTCTTTAATACAACACCATACGTGGCAACCAAGCTAAAATTTGCTAAATGACTGCCCAAATAAAAGCCATAAAGTACTTTATTTTTCGTTTGATTAAGTTATATGTTTATAATTTATGTTGTACAAGTAAATTTTAACAACTATTTAAGAGCATTAGTTTAAAGTTTCAAAATAATGTCGAATATAAATGTAACATGTTCTAGACTTTTTTTTCAAATTATTATAAAGTAAATACAAGAGGTTACTGCAAAGACACGATCATTATAAAAATTATTTATATTTCATGACTACCCACTAGTACGAGTACAAGTCAGCTCATTGGTGTGACATGCTTCAGTGTCTAATGAAAATAGTTATTCATACTCTTGATGGGCAGTATCATAAATGTAAACACGTTTCATCTACTACTGTTGTAGAAAATATTTCTTTGAGGCGAAAAGGTATGACAGTTTGGATATTTTACATATATTATTTAACTATTTTGATAAGTAAGAGCTCCATGTAAATTATTTTCTAAAAATATAAACTTTTATTGAGTAAGGCTGCTTTTTAACATTTTTTAAATACATTGTATTCGACAGGAAAATTTAAGCTCTACTAAAGTTATGAGAGAGCAATAAATAAGTTTGTTGACGGTTCATAAAAACCAATAATTTAATTAACATCACAGAAAATTAGGACACCTCTTTCAAAAAATCGACTTATTTATCGCTGATGAAGAACTAGTACTAAAATACAGTATAAGAACTAAATTCTCACACATGATCTATTGTGTCACAACTTTCTATGGTGAAATACACTATTTTTCTTACAGTATCTTTTAGTCAACACAAGAACTAAGTTGAAAATCATTTTGAGGATTGACTTGGATTTGAAATGTTTAAATAGTTGGGCCCCTATAAAATGCAAAGTAAGAAGACGTTTATGAGAATAATAAGAAAAGTTGAAGCTGGCAAATATTCAATGACAAATGCAGTTTATTTGGGTGTCAGGATTTTTTGAGTTATACTTGTACAGGTGCGTTATGCACTAAAGTAAAACAACGACGTTAGAATTCTGATCTTAAAACGATATGTGATGAAAGCGGATTTTATAACTATATACCCTCTTTTCTCTCACTGCACCGGCTTCCGCTGGTCTGCTTCACATCACACTACAGCATGCCACGCCACGTACATTTGAAATCTTATTGAATCTTATTTTTCATTGTGTCAATCGATGCTGCAAGAGAAAAACTTTTTTTTTCTAGGTATAAATTGGTGATAATGCGTATGTAAACTAACTCCCTTACCCACTTTGCTATGATTAGACCTAATATAAGAATTTAAATCATTTCTTGTTATGGTATGGTACGTAACTTACATAAAATGTTCATAGTAATATCCTAGTAAGTTACTTATTTAGGTGTCGATTATAAATTAAATAGTTCAAAAAAATATTTTACTAACCAGCTAATTTTTTAAGTCTAGTCCTTACATCCAAGCCTTGGAAATTGATATATTTTAGCAGAGTAATATTCTCATGTACAATAATCAGTATTCATGTTTTTATTATTAATATAGTAATATTTAAAAAAATAAAGATTGTTACGCAAGTTTTCTGATTTTTTTTTTAAACTTCCAAAAAATTTTTAAGCATTTTTTCGTACTGTATGTGTTGGAAATGAGAGCGACCAACAGTAGGCCCGGCTTTTGTGTACATTGTGTACACTTGTAGTCTCTGTCGGCTCAACGCTCTGTGCGTGTGCGCTTGGTCGACTTGGCGCGCTGCAAATGTGTGTGTGCGTATTCACGCGGCGAGCTTTGTATACTGTAAGCGCCAGATTATACTCAGCTCTCGTCGAGGATAGACTCTCTTAATTAACGTCGCCAAACTCTAGCATTCAAAGGTGCATACATCACTTTAAATTCTAGTGTAAATCTTTAGATTAACTCTCTCAATACAGTGGACAAAACTTAGTTGTGGAGTGCAGTGCACTTAGTGCTTTGTTTAAGTTCCTCACTGCATAATCTGCAGACCAGCTCAAATAGTTAATGTCATCGAACTACCAGTAATTATCAACAGCAAGACTCAGTGAAGCTCTTGTGTATTTCTACAGACAGTAATTGTGCATTTCTACAGACGATCGTTTTTCGTTAATCAATATTTCAGTCAGTTATATTATATCAGTGCTTTCATTTTTACATTCATTTTTTGTGTCTTTCAAACTCTCTTGCGAGCTCAAGGCCAGTGCGTGTTTACATATTGTGTTATTCAACTTGACTCTTTTCTTTCTACATTCTTCGCTTTTATATATTTCAATAGCTTATTGCTTCAAGACTATAGACATTATTTCTTTTCTTCTGTATTATTTTTACCTTTACTATTTTTGTGAATATTAACTGTGATTTTTCTTGGCCTTTGAGTGATATTAAACGTTGTTTTTTTTATGCTGTTTAATTTTATTGTGTTTTATTGGGTCTTCCTGTTGGCATGTACGACTTTTCGATAGGCAGTATATATAGTGTGAAAGACAGCGCCACAGGCAAGGTGATACTTGCGGGCCTTGTAGTCAGTACAGTGTAAGCCACCGTGCCTTCTACACCTCTCGTCGGTTCTAGCTTTATTGTCTTTGTCTGATAAGTCGGTTGTAAGTCTGTAAAGTCTGTTAATTGTATCTGGTGTGTTCTACGTCGGTCGGCAGTTTTATTAAATAAACTTTTGTCCAACTTGTAATACTCGTTTTATTATTTCGCGCACCTCCTTTACTCACACCTCTTCAGGTTACGGGCCCCAGACTCGTATCACCGCGCGTGATCTCTTCTTTATTTTTTTTGTGTGGGTGAGTGTGACAAAAGAGAGGATGGCGGAAAGGGCTGAGACAGCAAAGGATGGACAAGAGAAGTTCGATCGAGGAAGCGGCCGAGAGCGTGACCCCTGGTGACCAGGCCGAGTCCGTTGTCGACCAGGCGTTGTCGACGCCGGGCGAGGAAATGGGAGCAAATCTGGACGCCGGAACCGAGATCAGCGGTAGGTCAACACTTTGTTTTTTTGAGTGATGCCTAGGTTGGACGCTACGACGTCAGGTAAAAAGGGGTTTTCTTGTGCATTCTGAGAAATGCGCGGGATTCCAAGAAACACGTGGCGTCGGTAGCGCGACACGCACATGCAAGAGCGGGGCGGATCGAGAGGGGGACAACATATTGCGGCTGAGGAGAGAGTTCGGTCTCTCTCTCTCCCTCTCGTGATGACGCGAGGCTTTTTGACTGAAAATATATTACGAGGCCGTTTGTGTTTTGTTTTCGTGCTTTCTCGCGTCTCTTGTTCTTGTCGCCTCGACTGTTGTGTGCGCGTTACTATATAAATGTCCGAACTGGGAAAGTTTGAACGTGTGTCGGCAGAAAATTATATATGTCCTTTCCCGGTGCTTTTAATTAATTGAACTCTAGGCAATAAATATTCAAGGCGGTTTTCAGATTTAGTCAGAAAAGGCTGATATTTTAAAAGTTTACATTTTCTTTTAGACGAGCAAACTATCGATGCTCTGTCGAGAATATGTCGGGGAATTTCATCCCAAGTCAAGTCAGAAGGACGACAACAAGCTGCTATCTTGTTGGTGGATAAAAGGGGAATAATGGCATGTGTCGGGCAAAGGGATATTCCCGCCAAAGGTGTGTAAACGAAATTATTTTCCGTGTGACTCGCACAGTCACGTTAGACTTGTGTTCGGTCGCGCGCGGCTGTGTGAGTGCCCAGCGTGCAATCGTGCTTTGTGTTCGAGCACGAGAACACGCTTCGGGCCACGTTGACTAGATTCGGCTTGCGTTCGGTCGATTTCTAGTTGACTCCCTGAAAACAATGTCCGTCTTTTGTTTTAGATTACCTGATCGGTGACGATTACAAATACATCGTTAAATTTCTTTGTAAAAAGGGAGGCAAAGTGACGTTGCCAGAAAATCTATTCAGGGAAGACGGGGAATGCGAGGAACCTGCTCGTGATAAACCCGGGTTATTTGAAAAGTCGGTCGATGTGTTTAAAATGTCAGATGAGAAAAAGTCCGAAATGTCAGAAGTCCGAAACCTTGATGAGATAAATGTAGACAGTGAAAATCTTTGGCAGAAATTAGGCGGAAATGAGTCTGTACACGAAGCAGCCCCCTCTTCCCCGTCGCGCACACCGGAAAATACCCAACTTAAAATAAAGAAAGTGCAAACCATTGAAAACAAATATAAATGGATAAACGTCAGCAAAACGAAGTTGCATATGGCAGATAAACAGAAAAATGAAAATTTTTCAGAAAACATCATGCTGGCCAGGTTCGACTCAATAATGGCCGCGATTAGTCAGATGATCGAAAGGCAGGAGAAAGCAAACGAGGAGGCAAGGAAGGCAGAGGAAGAACGGGCAAGGAAGGCAGAGGAAGAAAGGCAGGAAGCTGAGAGAACAAGGGAGGAGATAATTCTGGTCATGCGCAATTTTGACCAGAGGTTGTCCCGGTTGGGCGAGCGGGTGAACAGGGTCGAGTCATCCGAGGCCCAATCGTCAACCGGGGCACCCCTGCAGTCATCAACTCCTCGCAACGACAGAAGACGGGTGAGTCTGCAAGACAAATTGAAAACGTTCTTGAATGACACAAAAAATGAAAATTTGTCAAAAGGCAGCGCGGAACTTCTCGCGACAACCATCAGTCAAATACATAAATTCGGCCGTGATACTCAACACATATACAATTACCATCTGTCTAAAGATATGAAGTTCGAAGTTTTTCTCGATAAATTTAAGTCTGAACTCCGGTCTAAAGGATTACTATATGTCATTGATTCTTCGATTAAAAATACGGAATTTATTAACGAAGACATGATCAAAGAAGACAAATTAAAAGTCAGAGATATTTTATTAAGTAGAGTAACAGAAAAATATCATTTAAGAACTTTTCGTCTGCAAGATCCGGTTGTAATATTGGAAAGTCTGAAAGAACTTAAGAAGGGGGAGACGCCCCTTACAACGGCCGCGATTCGTAAAAAATTGCATGAAATTAAATTTTACAAAGGGAAAGAATCGGTTGCCAAATTCATAGAAAAATTTGAGGAACTGGTCAGAAATTATGAGACTATAAGTACGTCTGGTCCCTTTTCTGAAGAAGAAAAGCGAGATGCCTTTTATACTGCCGTAATCGGAGCGGTACCTAGCGTGCAGGTGACAGACTTCACGCTTAAAATGCAAAGCAGAGATGGAAAGGGTATGACATATGAAAACCTCATGTCGTACATGTTAAAGGTCGAGTCAGAAGGCCTAGCAGAAGCCACTGGAGGTCGCCCCACGAGGGCAGCTTTGGCTGCCTCTTGGCCCCAGGACCGTCTCCGCTGCTTCAACTGTGATGACTGGGACCATATGGCTGACAAGTGTCCGAAGGCAGGTACCGGACTCAAGAAGTGTTACACGTGTGGCACGTTCGTGTAT